ATTTGGGATTTTTCCTCTGTCTTTGAACTCTTGGGTTTAAGCCTAGTAAGGGTATTGTATGCACAGTTGAATGTCTTTTTACACATGGTTCCAAAGTGCTTTCTGTAGTGGTTCTAACCAATTTATAGCTCCAAACAGTGCATCAGTGTGCCCGTTTTTCTGAAGCTCTAACATTTGTCATTTTCCTGAGAAAATGTTATGGGGTGGCACCTCAGAATTAATTTAATGTGCATTTCTTAAATTGTAAGCATTGTGGAGTATTTTTTCATGACTAGAGAGCTTGACTTTCTTCCCTTGAGAACTGATTATTCATATCCTTTGACCATTTGTTAATTGGAGAATTATTCTTTTTCTTATAAATTGAAATAAATTTCAGTCAGTTCCTTATATATATATGTTGGAAATGAGATCTTTATCAGAAAAATTTACTATAAAAATTTTTTCCAAGTTAACTGTCTCCCTTCTAATCTTAGTTATATTAGATTTGTTTGTGCAAAAGCTTTAATTTTATGCATTTCTCTCCACCCTGTTTTCTTACATGTCTTCTTCACCTTGCTCTCTATCCCTTCTTTGACAAAAGAGGGGTGTAGAACAGGACTCTGCTCAGCACCAGTGCTCTCTGCTTAATGCAGACAGCTTCAGCACCCCTTAGCTTCTCCTTTTCCCCTACCCAGATAGTAGTCACAGGTTCTTAACTTTCATTTCTTTCCTTTTAAACCTTTTTTCACTATCTACCCTCTGATTTTAGAATTTGTTATGACTGTGACTTATTCCTCCCTGCTTTTACCTTTCCTTTAATTTCTTCCTTTTGCTTCTCTCTGTTTCCTTTATGTATACTTGTGTGTGTTCTACTTTAATCAATTCAGATGAAAGTGAGGTTCGTGTGATGCCCAGCCCCCTTCACTCCTTTGTTGGCATTTTTGGGTACTTGTGTCCCTGGTTATTTGAGATAATCCCCTTCCATTCCTTCCTTTTTCTTCCCTGGTTTTCTTTAAAAAATATTCTCTCTATCCTTTTTTCTATTCTCTCTTTTTTTCTTTTCCCTTTATTCTTTTTAAAATCATTAAAACAACAAAAATCACTCTCAGACCCTGTCTTATTTAATTTTCTGTAACCTCTGATAACATTATGGCTCTTAGGGAGTACTTGAATTATCCTTCTTCTCCTTCATTAGAATACAAATATCTCATCCTTATAATGTCTTTTCCTAACTGCTCTCTCATATTTACATTCTGTATACTCCCATGTTTGAATTTCAGAGTTTTTTACTCAGCTACAGCCTTTTCATCGTGAATCCTTCTATTTCATTAAAGTCCATTTTCCTACTGTAGAATTATGCTCAGTTTTGCTGGGTAAATTGTTCTTAGTTATAAGCCTGTATCTTTTGTCTTTTAGAATATCTTCTTCCATGCTCTCTGCTCCTTTATAGGGGTAGCTGCTAAATCTTATATGGGGTCTTACCCATGGTTCCTTGATCCTTGAACTCTTCCATTCTGGTTGCTTTGTGGTGTTTTTTTTTATTGAATCTAGGAGCTCTGAATTTTTTAAATTTAATTTGTTTATTTTTAGTTTTCAACATTCACTTCCATGAGATTTTGAGTTTTAAATTTTCTGCCCCTTCCACTTTTTCTCCCTCTGCCCCCTCACCCCCCATCCCCCACCCCAAGACGGCATACAGTGCAATATAGGCTCTACATGTACCTTCATGTTAAGCATATTTTCCCATTAGTTATGATGTAAGGAACAGTTTGAACTAATAGGAGGAACCATGAGAATGAAGTAATAAAACAACAAAGGAAAAAGAGAGCAAATAGTGTGCTTCCATCCGCATTCAGATTCCATATTTCTTTCTCTGGGTGTGCATAGCAATTTCCATCATAAATCTTTTGGAGTTGTCTTAGATCCTTATGTTGCTGTGAAGAGCCAACTCTGTCAAAGTCAGTCATCCCATAATGTAGCTGTTACTGTGTATGATGTTCTCCTGGTTCTGCTCATTTCACTCTGCATCAGTTCATGTAAGTCTTTTCAAGTTTTTTTGAAGTCTGCCTGCTCATCATCTTTTTTTTTTCTTTTTTCTTTTTTTTTTTGTGAGGGCAGTTGGGGTTAAGTGACTTTGTGCAGGGTCACATAGCTAGTGAGTGCTGTGTGTCTGAGGCCAGATTTGAACTCAGGGCCTCCTGACTCCAGGGCCGGTGCTCTATCTACTACACCACTTAGCTGCCCCTGCTCATCATTTCTTACTGAACAGTAGTATTCATTACATTCATATACCAAGTATTACCAAGGAGCTCTGAATTTTGCTGATGATGTTCCTGGTAGTTTTTATTTTGAGGTTTCTTTCAGGAGGTGACCAGTAGAGTCTTTATTTTTTTTTCACTTTGCCCTTTGACTCTAAGATTATAGGTAGATTTCATGTATAATTTTCTGAAATATGGTATCCAGGCTTCTTTTCTGATCAGTTTTAGGAGAGTCTGATAATTCTTAGATTGTCTCTCCTTGGCCTGTTTTTTCCAACTCAGTTTCTTTTTATGTGAGATACCTTACATTTTCTTTTTTTTTTTCATTCTTAACTTTGTTTTAATATTTCCTGCTGTCTCGTTGAATCATTACATTTTTATTCATTCTAATTTTTTTTTCTTTTGTGAGGCAATTTGGGTTAAGTGACTTGCCCAAAGTCACACAGCTAGTGAGTGTTATGTATGTGAGGCCAGATTTAAACTCAGGTCCTTCTGAATCCAGGGCCAATACTCTATCCACTGTGCCATGTAGCTGCCCCTTCATTCTAATTTTCAAAGAGTATGTTATTTATATAAAGTTTTGTACTTTTTGTGCTAAACTACGAATTATCTTTCTATGTCTACTTTATAGCTCTCATTTATTTTTCCATTTCTTTCCTCTGTTGCTCTCATTTCATTTATGTTATTTAAAACCTTTTTTTCCCTAAACTTTTGCATCATTTCTTCTATAAATTCTTAATTATCTTGTGGGCAAGCTGTGTTTTTGTTTGTAAATATTTTGGAATTCTTTTCTGGGTTTTTGTCTTGGGTATTACCTGGCATCATAATAGTTCTTTGTTTTTTTCCTTTTCTCATTTTTCTAGCATTCTGCTCTGGACAAACTGACAGTTTCTTGCCTGGCTCTGAGGCACTGAATCCATAGTTCCAGTCCCCCTGTATTACACAATTCCTGATCTTGTCTCTTACCTGCTTGGTTTGGATTTCTCTTTAGATTTTGTTGGAGTAGCTGTGGAGAAAGCCAGTCTATAGTGCTTCTTTCTATTCCACCATCTTGGGTTCTGCCTGCTTCCTATGAACATTCTATAAAAATCTTATGAGTTTTTTTCCTAGGTGATTATCAAAGAGTTTAGGTTGCTACTTGGCCGAGTAAAATGGTTGTAGGTTTTTGTTTTTGTTTTGTTGTTACTCTTGTTTATACCATGCTGAGGAATAAACTTAGTTAGCCTTTCCCTCACCCACCAGTGACATAGATTTTTTGGTTTTCTCTTTTGGGTTTCCGGTACAATTTTAGAAGCTAGGGACAGAATAAGGGAATTTATTCATTTCTTTAAGCAAAATAAGAAAAAATAGAAGAGATCTAACAGTAAAGATTAAGACTTAAAGAGCAAGGGAGTAATCCCACAAGATGAGAGCACAGTGAAAAGACAGAAACATAGAGCATATTCTAGTTAAAGAGAATATATAGTGCTTTAAGGTTTATCAAGCACTTTCTCCATGAAGTGCAATTATCAACCCCATTTTACAGATGAACTGAGGCTGCCTGCCTCAGTGTTAACACTTGTTAACAAAGGTCATATAGTTTGTAATTTCAGAGCTAGTCATCGAACCCAGATCTTTCCTAATTCCAAGTGCAGCACTTTTTCACCATGCCATATTCCTTGAAATGTTTGTTATTGAATTAGTGTGCCTTTCATACTGTATAAAGTATTATACTCTATCATTCACGAGGTAATTTTCTCATCAGTTATCTGGCATATGTCTTGGAATGTGAGACAAGTGGACCTTTTACTGTCTGCTTTGAAAGTCAATTGTGATTGAGTTGCTGATTAACTCATGGTATTATGAAATAGGGGACTGGCACACCAGGTTCTTTGGGTATTCACTGGGAAAGGTCATGATGGCACCAATTATACTTTAATAAGGAACAGAAGATGTGACGGCAGTCAGCACATAAAGTACAGAGACAAGTGATAAAAGCGTAGATGAGGAGATGCAGAGGCAGACATGGCGGGGTGGTGGGGATGGGGCAGTGAAGGCAGGCAGTGTGGGGAACAGAATTGTAACGGGGGGAGAGCCACAGAGGATCACTCACATAACCATGGCTTAGAATTGGAAGCTCTTGGGCAGCATGGACCCATAGGAAATGGAAGAGTGCTTGGCGGGGAGGCAGGTGTTTGGGGTCTCATTTTTATAAGCTTTTGGTGGGAGGTAGACTTAAATTTTATCTGCGCTATCCTGGGATTAGTTCATTAACATATTCACATTGTCTCAAAGTATTTTTTGTTCTACTTGTCTTAACTGCCGGTATCTGGTACTTACCTGAAATTTACATCTCCTAAGACCAAAAGGCCCTGATAGCAAGACTTAAATGGCTTCTCTTGATATAACTTAGCTCCTAGTCTCAGAATGTGGTGTTTCTAAATCACGCTTCTTTGATCTTTGGGGCAGTCTGAAAATGACTTGTGCATTCCTGTCCTCTTCACGTTCTACCTTCCTGCCATTGTTACTTATACTGACTACTTATAAACTTACTACCCTGATTAGAAGGGGAGGAGGTGGTAAAGGGGACCAGAAAAAGATATGTTTACACAGCAATGTACTTATAATATGTACCATTTGGTAAAGAATATGATTTGTTGTCAATTGGCCATCCTTCTCTAACAGTATATTAAAGGAAATATCACACATAAGTATTTTTGTTAGGAGTCAGTACAGAAAAATTTTCATTTTAATTTAACTATAAACATGATTCTATCTTTCCAGATCAGATGGAAGAAATCAAACAAATGTTACTAGACAACCATTGAATGCCTCTCGAAATGCCCCTCCGGTAAATAGCCCCAGAGGTGCTGTAAGTTTAATTTTTGTTTTCGTATTTCTTGTTGTGGGTATTTGGGTTATAAAAATTGTTTTGTGTTATAAATATTCATATTTTTAAGGTCTTGGCCAGTGGCAATTAAGTGTGAAGTTAGAAGTAAAAGATCACCTTTGAGTTTTTTGGGTTTTTTTAACTGAATGACCAATGTAGTACTCATATGACAGGAAGGTGGTCTGGAGGAAATTGTGTGATTTTTGTACCTTTAAAAGAAAGTATCAGTGAGACTATAGTTAAGAATAAAGTTTTTGCCTTTTTTTTTTTTGTCTTGCTCCACACTCCTATCAAGTAATCCTTTTAACCCAGAACAGCTTGTCCCTTGTGAAAGAGTTTTCTGGATATGTTTTAAAAGCCTACTTTACACTTGTTTCAACAAATGAGTGAAATTATGGTGACCTACTGTTCTAGTGTTTCTGATGCTTTGTGCATAGTGAGAAGTAACAGTTAAAAATACCTTTTAAAAGTGTCCTTTTTTGTCATTTTGAAGCAAGTTAAATGCTGCCAGGGACTATTTCCTAAATATGTGCTTTAAAATGCCAGTCCAGTATGCTCTACGGTGAATGTGGAGGCATCGCCTTGATTTTCAGAGCTATAGTAGAAGTACACCTAATGAGTCAGCAAGCCCTTCAAGGTTTTATCAGCACTCTAAGGATGTAGATAGACTACCCTTTTTTGCACCCTTTTGCCTCCACGTCACAGAGATAGTCAAGCTTTACTTCAAGGGGCACCTACTACCTTGGCATTAGTATTTAACTTGACTATTTCTGTCAGTGATGTTCACTCAGTATCCCATGTTTGAAACTTTGGTATTTATCTTTTCCCACTTCCTCAGCTCTCCTATCCAGTCAGTTAACAAATCTTATTGTTTGCCTCTGTGTAGTATCTTGAATCTGTTGTGATCTTTATTTCCTACCTTATAACCACTAGTGCAGGCCCCAGTTGCTAGCTGACTCCTGACTTTTTCCATCTCTACTCTTTCCTTCCTGCAATCCATCCTTCACTCCAACTCCAGACTAGTTTTCTTTTGTAGCTATTTTTTCATGTAGTATCATAGATGTGAAGCTGGAAGTGACATCAAAAGCTATCTTACCCAATCCTTTCATTTTATAGTTGAAGAAACTAAGGCCCAGGCAGTTTAAGTGATTTTGCTGTTGTCATAGGTATTAACTGTTAGAAGTGGGATTTGAATCTGGGTCTTCTAACTCCAGAACCATGTTTATTATACCATGTTTCTTGAGATGCCTATAGGATATCCTGGATCCCTTAAAAATCATGCACAGAGTTATTATTTGAATCCAAGAAAGCTAATGATGTCTTTGAGAGACAGTATATATAGAGAAAAGAACCTGGGGTCTAGAACAGAGCCTTGGGGAACATCCACTTTTAGGGAACAGAATATCAATTATGATTTAGCAGAGGAAACTAAAAAGGAATGGTCAAATAAATAGATTATCAGAATCAAGGAATGTATAAAACCATTACAACATTGTCACAGAAGATGTCTTGTGTGGAGCCTAAATAAAAGCGATATTCCCTATATATAGTAAGGTCCTCCAGTTGGGATTTTTTTTGGGAAATGATACAATATTGATTGCATTATGCGCCAGCATATTACAGGACCTCTTCACTGAGACTCGTTGGCCACTTCAAAGAGATTCTCTACTCAAGAAAAACACAGTGGAGGAAGAGTACATGTTGCTAAAATCATGGCATTTAATTGGGATGTTGACTTAGTCCATTAGTATCATATCCATCAAGTCGATCACATCTTGCACAAGTGAACTGGGTTGTAGCCCTTTGAGCATAGTTCCAAATTGCTCCCCAGAATGGTTGGATCAGTTCACAACTCCACCAACAATGCATTAGTGTTCCAGTTTTCCCACATCTTCTCCAACATTAATCATTGTCCTGTTTTGTCATGTTAGGCCATCTGATAATTGTGATGTTGAGACCTCAGAGTTGTTTTGATATGCATTTCTCTAATCAGTAGTGATTTAGAGGATTTGTTCCTATGACTATAGGTAATTTTAATTTCTTCATCTGAAAACTGCCTGTTCATGTCCTTTGACCATTTATCAATTGGGGAATGGCTTGTGTTCTCATAATTTATTTATTTATTTTTTGGTGAGGCAATTGGGGTTAAGTGACTTGCCCAGAGCCACACAGTTAGTAAGTGTTACGTGTCTGAGGCTGGATTTGAACTCAGGTCCTCTGGACTCCAGGGCTGGTGCTCTATCCACTGCGCCACCTACTTGCCCCTATTCTTATGTGTTTGACTCGATTCTCTATAGATTTGAAAAATAAGGCTTTTATCAGAGACTTTTCAATTTAATGTAATCAAAATTATCCATTTTGCATTTCATGATGTTGTCTCTCTCTTGTTTGGTTGTAAATTCTTCTGTTCTTCATAAATCTGACAAGTAAACTATTCCCTGCTCTCTCAGTTTGCTTATAGTATCAGCCTTTATATCTAAGTTGTGTACCCATTTTGATTTAAGGTTTTTTTGTGTGTATAAAAGAATTATAAGCCTGAAAGAACTTTTTTCTCATACTTAACATTTTATACTTCTTTGGTACTTGCTTTTCAAATATAATACTGTTTTTTATGGCTATATGTGATTAGTACCTTATCTTCTAATGAGATAGTCTTTCAATTTATCAATGAGATAATATTTGTAAACTACTTAACACAGTGCCTTACACATAATAGGTGTTATATAAATGCTTATTCCCTTTCCTTATGTCCTAGACTGAAAGCTCCCTGTTAACATCTGTTTTCTAGCTAAGACTCTCTGTAGGGCTCATCACAGTCACCTGAGTATGTCTTGCGCACATCAAGGAAAATAAATCATAATTAATGTTTGTGATGTCATAAGAATTAAGTATCTTTCGTTTAATAGTAAAGACATACTCTGTAAGCAGACTTTTAAAAATGTCATATTTTAAAGCAGCCATTATGTATGTAGGTTGTTAAATGTTTTGGATTTCTTCAGAGGGAGAAATACTAAACTGTATTTAGAGGCTATTTATGAGTACTTAGTGATACTGACTTACTCTTTTTGTTTCCTTAGGCTGTTTATGCAAACAGGTTTCCAGTACCAACTTATGCAGCCAAGCAGCCTCAGCAATACCCATCAAGGTACAAAATGAGATTACTCACATCTTTCCACATCAGTACTGATGTGAGTTTGGTTCTAGAACTGGAAAGAATGGGGAATTTAATTAAATAATGCTAGAAATTAGGTTGAACATTTTTTTTTTCAAAAAAGACTTCAAGAAAACTTGTGTAATTATACTTGTTTTGGAGCACAGTTAACATTAAAATTTTAAGGAAACAAAACAAAAAACAGTCAACTAATGATGTTACATAAAGTGACTAAAATCAGATGGGAGTAAAGTCTCTCCTTTACTCTTTATCCTTCAGTAATCAAGTTCTTCATTTATCAGTAATTCATTTATTCATGGCAGCTAGGTGACACAGTAGGTTAAGAATTGTTGGACTTTGAACCAGAAAAACCTGAATTTAAATCCCTTCTTAGATACTAACTGTATGACCCACGGGCACATTACTCAGCCTCTCTCAGCCTCAGTTTCCTCAAATGTAAAATAAAGCACAGTATATGTCCTTGAGTAGCTTACATTCTAGAAGAGGAAGTAAGAGGTATTAAATACAAGGAATATGCATAGTAGAGAGTCTTCAGATCTAGAGGTCAGGGAAAGCTTCATCAGGAAGGTGGCAGGTTGACTGGGCTGAGAAGCAGCATGGGAGAGGAGAAAGAACCAGGTTTAGAGCAAAAGGACTTGTTCAAATTGTAACTGATGATGTGTGACTTTCATCAAGTCACTTTATTTCTGTGCCTCAATTTTTTGCTCTGTAAAATGAGAATTTGGAGTTGGATGGCTTCTAAGGAACCTTTCCAGTTCTAAATTTCATGAAGATTGCATAGGCTGAGCTAGAGTAGGGATAAAGAAGGAGAGATTGAAGGGATGTAGGCTAGAAAATGAACATGATATTCCTTGCACAGAAAGTAGTTCAGTTTAGCTTAAATGTAAAGTATGGGAAGCAGAGGAGGAGGAGATGAATTTGGAAAGTTAGGTTTTAGCCAAATTGTAGAGGTCTTTGAACCCAAGGTTTGGGAATTTGGACTTCATTAAGAAAGCAATGTGGACTCTGAAAGATTTTTTGTTTAAGAGGGATTGAGGAGTGGAATTATTAGAGTAAAACTTTTAGGAAGGTGGAGATGGCAGCAGTGTATAAGGTGTTGGAAAAAATTATAAGCCAAGAAAACAGGATCAGTAGTCCATGCAAGAGGTGTAATGAGGACCTGAAAGAAGGTGTGGGTATCAATACAGAATGACAAGTCCAAGAGCTACTCTAAAGATTGAACGAATGAAAGAAGAATCATTTATTTAGCACTTAACTTTATGCTAAGCAATGATGATAGAAATACAAAATAGAGAATAGTCCCTGACCTCAAAGAGCTTACATTCTTTTAAAAATTTTATTTTTATTTTTATTTTTTTATGTTTTTTTTCCATATGCTTTTGAGTGGAAAATTTTTCTCCCTTTTCCTCCCCCCCACCCTCCCCAAGACGGCACACAATCTGACATAGGCTTTACATTTACACACCCATTAAACATATTTTCACATTAGTGAAGTTGTAAGTAAAAATTAAAACCAATACGAGGAACCATCAGAAAGATGAAACAAAACTCAACAGAAGGTAAAAATAAATGATAGAGATTGGACTTCCATAGTTCTTTCTTTGGATGTGGACAGCATTTTCCATCCCAAGGCCTCTGGAGATGTCTTAGATCCTTGTAATGCTGAGAAGGGTTCAGTTTAACAGTCTTAGTCATTGCATAGCGTAGCTCTTATTGTGTACAGAGTCCTCTTGGTTCTTCTCACTTCACTCAGTATCAGACCATATAAGTCTTTCCAGGTTTTTCTGAAGTCAGCATGTTCATCATTTCTTATAGCACAATAGTATTCTATTACATCATATGCCACAACTTGCTCAGCCATTCCCCAATTGATGGGCATCCTTTCAATTTCCAATTCTTTGCCACCACAAAAAGAGCTGCTATGAATATTTTTGTACATGTGGGTCCTTTTCCCATTTGTTTGATCTCTTTGGGATATAGCCCTAGAAGTGCTATTGCTGGATCAAAGGGTATGCACATTTTTGTAGCCCTAAGAGCTTACATTCTAAAAGATGAAGATAATAATAATTAATAATAGCCACCATTTATATATAACAGTGCTTTACAAATATTATTTAATTTTGTTCTCATGACAGCCCTGAGAGGTAGGCAAGATTATTATCTCCTTTTTTACAAATGAGGAAACTGAGACAAACTTATCCTGCATCATACAGCTGTTGTCTCAGGTCACATTGAATTCTAATACATATAGAGCAGTGGTGAATAGGCAAGGATGTTTTGATCTGGGAAGACACAAAGATGATGTGTGAAAATGTAGGGCAGTCCACTGGTGTGCCCTTTCCAACGGCATGAATTACTGATAACCTAATTATTGATTACTGAGGGGTAAAGAGTGAAGGATTGATTTGGCACAGTGGCGGGGTTGATTTGATTATAGTTCTTAGAGACAAATTGGTATAGTGGATAGAGAACTAAAGACTTTGGTTCAAGTCTTACTTCTTACACATACTGGCAATATGACCCTGGGAAATCATTTAAAACCTTACTGATATAGGCGAGAGATGTTAAATGCAGCCTGATTAAAATATAATTGGGAAATGTTGAAGAAAATAAATAAAAACATACAACAACATTATTGTCATTCAGTCACGTATGACTCTTTTTGATCCTTTGAACTAGTTGTCCATAGGGAAATGGACGTCCAATGGCAAAGATACTGGGAGTGCTTTGCCGTTTCCTTCTCCAGTTCTGTGTAGGCAGGGGTTAAGTGTCTTGCCAGGGTCACACAGCTACCAAGTATCTGAGGTCAGCTTTGAAGTCTGGTGTTTCTGACTCCAGGCCTAATGCTTTTATCCACTGTGCCACCTAGCTACCCCACTTAGATAATGTTAATTTGTGGTTTTCTAAGTCATTATTCAGCACAGTGTCTATTAAGCTGCAGAAAAGATGCTTGTCTGCTTTGGTAAAGTGAGTTTTCTCATTCAGAAATTCTCTGCCTGTACCAATGAAATCATAGGTCCAGTTCCTATCTCTGTCTTGGAGCAAGAGGTGGAGAGTGGAAGGGTAGAGTAGAAGGGACAGTTGTGAGCAGAATGAATGAGCCCAAAGACATTTAAAACTAACGGTTGCAGCTTCTCTCATGTATGTTCTCTGCAATTCTTATTTGGAGGGTGGAGCCTCATTTGGGTAGAAAATGAAGAGAACTGAAAAGGTTTGGAACAATACCTTAAAAGAACTGTGAGAAGAAGTTGGGAAGAACTGAATAAAAGGAAAAGATTTCATTTCTGGACTGTCAGTATCCTGAATTTGATGTGAAGAAGCATAAAGATGATATTGAGATTTTGTGCTTAGAGGCTGTTGTAAGGCTCAATATTTGTAAATCACTTTGAAAACCTTAAAGCACTGTATCAGGAGTTCCCAAACTTACCTGGCCTACTGCCCCCTTTAAAAAAAATTTATTAAGCCCTGCCCCCCAGGAAATCTACTTTCTTTAACCTTTAACGGTTTTTTGGAAATTTGCATCATTTCAGAAACTATATGTATATGTATTTTTAAAATGATGCATCTTAAATTTAATAATTTATTGTAAATTTGTGGGTTTTCCTGCATTGAACTTTTGACAGTGCAATATTGCATTATGTAACCATGTAGTATTATATCATGAACAAGCCATTACACATATTGCTCATTTTGGACTTCCCAACAATGCACAGCACGCTTGCCTGCCAGCATTTGCTCGTTAAGATCTGTCGGTAGACTTGACCCCTGATTGGTTATAACTTGCATTTTATGTGTTTAATTTGGAAAATAATGTAAGCACTCTGACTTTGACTCTGTTACACAACAGATGAAACATGTATGAATGGTTTTTCAAAATTTTGTTCTTTTTTTCTTTCCTTATGCTTCCAACTCCCCTGCCCCCTTTTTTATTCAACGCCCTCCCAATTGCACCCAAGGCTACTACCAGCCCCCCCATTGTTCCATCACCCCCTAGGGGATGGTATTGCCCACTTTGAGACCTATGCATATAAATACCAGCTATTGTTGTTGTTGATAAAATTAATTTTTGTTTCATTTCTTTAAAAATGTTTTATTCTAAGCATAAATACCAAAAAAGAACACACATACACGTAGCAGAATGCAAAAAAAAAAACCCAACCAAACCTTCTTTGAAACCATGAATCTCTATTTCATACCACTTTCTTTTTCTTTACGGTATATAATAAATTTGGCAAGTAACTTTCTAAACCCTTGTTTGTCTGTACTTCCTACTGTTCTGCTCTTTAAAAAACTGCATTAGTAGCTCTCTTTTTTGGGGAGGAGTGGGTGAGCATAAATATTGGTAAATTCTTCCTCCAGTTGTTATTGTTTAGTCATTCAGTTGTGTCTGACTCTGTGTGACTCCATGGATTTTGTCCATGGTGGTTTATTGTCCATGGAGTGGTTTCTCATTTCCTTCTCTAGTTTCTTGTTCTCATTTTACAGCTGAGGAAGTGAGGCAAATAGCGGTTAAGTGAGTTGCCCAGGGTCATGCAGCTAGTAAGTGTCTAAGGTCAGATTTGAACTCATATCATCCTGACTCTAGGCTTGGTGCTCTATCCACTGTACCACCTAGCTGTCCTTCTCCAGTTGTTGTTGTTATTTAGTCAAGACCTACTCTTCACGACCCCCATTTGGCATTTTCTTGGCAAAGCTACTGGAGTGGTTTGCCATTTCCTTCTCCGGCTCATTTTACAGATGAGGAAACTGAAGCAAACTGGGTTAAGTGACTTGCCCAGAGTCACACAGCTAGGATGTATCTGAAGCATGATTTGGACTCAGGAAGATGAATGTTCCTGATTTCAAGCCCAGTACTCTATCCACTGTGCCACCTAGCTGCCCTCTCCAATTAGCTCACCACAAAGAAAAAATAGTTTCTATATTGCTCCCTTCCTTGAAAACCCTCATCTGATGTGACTGTCTCTGCTAGTTATCATCTCCTCTTGCTTTCTGTCTTTCTCTTTGACTAAATAAACTCTTTGGGAAAGCTGTTTACAATCCATGCTCCCACTTTCTCTTCTCTTATTAAACTCTCTGCACTCTGGCTTCTGACTTCATAATTAAGTGAAACTGCTCTCTCCAAAGTTATCAGTGATTTAAAAAAAAACTGTTTCTTGTTGATGTCTTTTTTTTAAACTATAACTTCCCAGTATCCTACCCCTGTCTCCTCTGAGAGCCATCTCATATAATTAATATAGAATTTGTATAGTAATATATATTACCAGGATATTATTATTATATTATACAATAATATATAATTTTCTATATGATATAATTATACTATTTTGAAACAAGAAAAGAAGAGGATAAGAATTAGCATAACTAACCAGTGCATTAAAGAAGTCTAAAAAATATATGCAGTGTACTACACATGTAGTCCTCCTGTATCTGCAAAAGGGTAGGGTTGGAAATATTATATCTTTTCTTTTTTTTAAATTAATTTTTAAAAAATCATCAACAATCTTCCTTCTCTTCCTCCACCCCCATTGAGAATAAAAGAAAAAAACCGATGTTAGAAATATATGGGTATGGTCAAGTAAAAAAAAATTATTATTTTTTTTGGGAGGCTAGGCAATGGTGTTAAGTGACTTACCCAGGGTCACACAGCTAGTGAGTGTTGTGCATCTGAGGTCACATTTGAACTCAGGTCCTCCTGACTCCAGGGCTGATGCTCTATCCACTGCGCCACCTAGCTGCCCCCCCCCCCCAATATTTTTAATTGCCACATCTAATGGCCATTACATCTCATACTAGACATTGAGAATAAGACCAAGAGGCTAACTATGGTAGGAAAATGGGTAGTTATGGCAGCCAGGATATATAGGATAAGATGGCACACTTTGTGGATATATGAGACTATGGAGTGCCATGAAGAACATGAGATGATTGTACCTAAATTAGTAACTAAGTCTGAAACTCATCCACAGTCTTATTTCAGACTGGAAATTGTTTTTCAGCTTAATTTCATCCATAGAAGTGTTTCGCAGGTTATTATATAATCATCTCACTTCACATTTGTACAGTAGCTTCTTGTTTTCAGGTATCGTATACATTGTTTTATTTACTCTTATGATATTATTAAAATGTGTAGAAGCATTATTCCTCATAACATGAAATTTTAAAATTATACCAAAGAAAAGATTTTGCCTAATTGATTTTTGTCATTCCTTTTGCTGTTTACATACTTTTGCTTTTTAGTTTTGCCTTCTGTTTTCAGTAAAAATAGCACTAGTGGCTAGTGTGGAGTGGGTTGTAGACCCAGGCATATGCTGAAACCAGCGTGCATTGGCTCTCAAGAGGTGACAGTTAAATTTTTAGTATGAGCTTTTATGCCTAGAAAATCAGGGCTTGGTTTATTGTTTGGTATGTTGATTGTTTAGACTTAAGAAAGTGATAGAGAAAATATGAATAATGCAGATTAAACTTAAAAGGATGATGTGTATACTTCTCTTCCCCTGCCCTGCCCCCCCCTCCATCTCTGAGAGCTGATTATTAAACATTTGCCAGCACACCCTTGCTTGGACCCCATTTAAAGGAATGTGGTTGACAAAATAGCCTCCTCAAATTCTTATGAAGTGGTCACATCTATGAAGCAATTTCTTGGCAAAGACCCAATAGATTAGTATTTATAGGGAGATTCTAGTTATGTAATACCTTGTTTTATTTCCATTTTATAGTACTCCAGATGTGGATAAATGATTACCTATCCCTTCTTTCCACAGGCCACCTCCACCACAACCAAAAGTATCATCTCAGGGAAACTTTATTCCTACTCGTCCTGCACCTGCAGCTCCTGTAAAGAGATTCCTCTAGTTTTTCCTCCTTTGTATAGAAGACATCTTCAGAAAACTGAGTTGTTCATATTAATTTTTTTGGCATTCTGGGAAGAATTTCTTCTTGCAGCAAGCATAAAAGAAAACAAGCTACCAAACATGGAAATGCTTAAGAAACAAACCACTAAAAACTAAGTGAAGAAAGGAAGCCCAGCCAGCATTCAGTAATGTAAGAAAATGCAATAAGCCAAGGTTTCCAGAGTAAATAGTTTCCTTTTTTTTTTTCATGACCAGGCCTAACTGGGTCTTCTGAGAAGTGTGGAAATTATAAAATTAAGTAGGTTTAGCTAATTATGGACAAATCATTAGTGTTTCTAATCTTCAAATTAGCTGGAAATTGTTTTTAAGTTTTCCCATTCCACTCTGAAATGTGATTCTGCAGTCTTCACCTTGGTTACCATCATCTAGATTCTTGTACAACATAAACTGAAAATGCCATTTTTTAAAGCAAATAGAAATCAGAAAATCTTGTTACCTAAAAAATCAAATCTTTCTTATCTTGCATGAACTGATAATTATCATTATTGTGTTAAGGACATGAGATTAAGTTAACATGTCAAATTATTTTCAATGAAATGTAAAAGTACATGCTCTAAATGTGTATATATAGATACACTTGTAATAATTCCATGTTGATAGTCTTTTGAACTATAGACAATGGATATTATTAGAAAACTTCATTTAAATGTGTTTCTAATGTTAATCATGGTAATCCTTACTAGACTGGAAACCTTTTTCATTAGCATTAATATTGCAGATGGGTTATAAAAGGTACGAAGAGAAGCAGTCTTTAATAGACTTTGTCTGGGGACTATTTTTGGATCAGAAGAGAAAGCAGAAATCACTGCAATATCTTGAGTGGAGTAATCTGTTATGAAAACACTTGAGAATTTCATGTGCACTTTAAAATTGTTAAATCTAAAATAAACTTTCAACTAACAACTGAACTGAGTTTTCAGACTTTGCTGTTAATATAAAAATGTTTACATTTACTAAGTTATGTTGGAGCACATCTTAATTCTTACTAATGTTTTTGAAGGATGCAAAAATGATGTTTATTGAGTTCCATTGAGGTTTCAGGTGTTTTTTCATGTTGTATATGTATACATACAAGCATAGTTACATATATAGCTATAACATTTGCATTAATAAAATACTTGAAATTCTGTATTGTTGCTCTCCATTAACAGAGAATAATAAAATATTCAGTTATCTAACACATTAAATTTAAAGTAGCACAAGAGCTGTTACAAGATTATCTCTCTTGGCTAATTTTGCCAGCATTTTGGTGTATTTTATGCCATGGCTTGCCTAATTTAAAGTGAGACAGCTTTGCTTTAAGGTAGGCAGATTGACGCTCTCTGAAGGTGGTTCATTATTTCAATGACTGTGTATCGATGAGAGAAATGCTATATTGTGAAACAATCCCAAGGGAAGGCCCTGCTTTGATGTAAATTTGTGAACAAGTACATCTGAGATACAAGTGCTAAAATCTGTGTGCCTTTCATCATTTGCAGACTCAGTTTTTTATGATTGTAGCATATGCCTTTAAACTGTTATGGACAGTAGTTCTTTGAACTCTTAGAAAATAAGGAATTTGACTACTGATTTTATACTCTGATCATTTGAACAATCAGAACTTTTTTCTATATATTTGATTTCTCCTTGTTTGCATTCAGAAATTTGTCCTTGCTAATTTTATTTTGACTTGCCATCTATAGTGTAAAATTTCTCAATCATGATTGCCACTTTTGAAACGGAAAAGAATAAAGGGCTTTTAAAAATACAATCTGCTTAATATGTTTTTAAAACGAGTCAAGGATGTAGGTTGTGTGAGCTTAGTGTGAGTTATAAAAAAGCAAGGCAAAAAAAAAGAGACAGCTGGGTGACAGTAGATAGAGTGTTGGACCTTAAGTCAGAGAGACCTGAGTTCAAACCTAGTCTCATATACTTACTAGCCATGTGACCCTGGGTAAATCATTTAACCTCTGCCTATTTCAGTTTTCTCAAGTATAAAATGGAGATGATAATAATAGCACCTACCTCCCAGGGTTGTTGGGAGGATAAAATGAGATAATATACAGTGTTTGGCAACGACCATTAGTGCATTAGCCCTCCCTGTCTAGCCTGCCCTTCAGTGCTTAGGAGATTTCATGTCTATCCAGTGAACCGTAACCCTTTACTTTTCAGACCAGCCAGAAAAAAAACAGAAAACTGACAACCTTACAGTCTCACTTATTGTGCCCCAAAAGGCCAAAATTGATTGTAGTTTCCTTCTCTCAATTAAGAGTTGGCACTTCTGAGTAGGAGGCACATGGCTGCACACTAAGCCTACTACCAGTTCCAATGGTGACCAAGTATAAGTATCCCCAACCAAATCTGAAACAAATTCTGGAGTATGTTAATGTACAAGATAAGAGGTCTAAATATAGGACTGTCCTGCTTAGTCTGGGACATCTAGTTGATCACCTTAACAAATAGTAAGTTATCAACAGGACCCTGACAAGGTATTTATAGTTCACTTGACACTTATGTGCTCCTAAGGGTAAGCCTTTCAGGGAAATTGTCTTTTGGCCGTATAAATTATCACATAATCATGAAGAACTTTTACATTTAAGTTCTACAAATATTTCAGTAAAAAATTGTCTTAAAATCTGCTTTTGGCTTTTTTTCATTTAGAATGACCAAGGCTAAGAGGAATTGGGTGAGTTCCCATAATAAAGATGGAAAAGTTATAGGGAGTCAAGGGAAGAATTAGATAAGGGGTGGAAGTGACACTGAATTCTGATGTATCCCAATATCTAGACTTGGAAGGAACCTCAGAAACCATTTAGTCCAATCCATGCCTGGATCAGGATCTTCTCCACAATATAAAATCCTAGATTTGAGCTGAAGGAACCTTTGGCTAATCTCAACCTCTGCACTTTAAAGATGAGCAAACTGAGCCTCGAAGAGGTTAACTGACTTGGCCGAAATCAAACATAATAAGTAGCAAACCCAATACAATGTAAATACCTTAAGAGCGTGGACTGTTTCCTCTTTTTTGGCCCTTCATCTCACCAACACCTTGCACAGTGCCTTAAATATAGTAAGCATTTAATAAAATGCCCATTGGTTGATTTTGACTCCAGATGCACCTTCTAATGCTCATTCTCAAGGTTATACCAGGGGTGTACATGCTGTAGTATGGACGAACAAGCTTTTGAGGACCAATATAGTGAAATGCAAAAGAGCCTTAGCAGTCAGGTGGTTAATGAAAATCATCTAGGGTATGGTGTGAACCCACTCTTTGACCTCTGAGGAAGCTCAGGCAGTCCTGCTCTCTAGGCTGAATGACCCCATGGTCTCTACTTCTTTACACACAAAGGCCCTCCTCATCTGTCTCTGGGTGTAATGTGGGGGTTTAGGCAGGAGAAGCTTAGGAGAAAAACCATACTCTACTGTTCTCATGTCACATCTATGAACTCAATTATCATCTCTATGCAAGTGGCCCATTATTGTTTGTAGCTTTAACTCTTCAGTTCTATAATCTACCATCAGCTGCTCTGTGGACATCTACATATGAATGTCCTAATGGTATTCCAAAATTTGCCATGCCTCAAACCACTCATCTTTTCTCCACAACCAGCCTCTCCTCTAAACTTTCTGAGAGCACCACCATCCTCCCTCTTCCCAGTTACAGTGGCTCATAACTTCAGTTATTCTTGACTCTTTTTTTTTCTTCCTTTACCCCTCATATCAGATCATTTGATAAAATCTCATGACTCTATTTCTACCACACACCTCAACAGCTCCATAACCTACACACACATGGGAAGCACTCTAGGCCTTCATCAGTCTCACTTGGACCAAAGTAACAGTTTCCTAAGTAGTCTCCCTTTAGTCTGTCCCTTTTCTAATCTTTCCTTCATGAAACTGCCAAAATAATTAGTTTCTTAGTTCTGGCCATGTTATTATTCTTATCCAGAGATTCACTATTACCTCTGGAATGAAATACAAACTCCTCAGCATGTCTCTTAAAGTTCTCCACAACTTTCCTTTCCAGACTTATGTTATATGTTCTATGTGGAAAAGAATAACCTTTAAATCAGTATTGATTACATTGATTTATTTTTAGTTTGTTTCAAAAATTAAGTTCCCTTCTTTAGGGAAAGCTAGCCCTAATGCCTAAGCTAAGCCAACATAGACATTCCCTTTTGCCTGAATAATACCTATAGGTTTAGAGATAGATTGATAAACTTATAATTTAATAGCAGATAATTTAGAATAAGACATGTATCTTTGTAGGAATAAAATAATCATAGGATTATAAGACTTTTTTAAAGGCTAAGTTCTCCTTTCTGGAGGCTGGAGAAAGGGGGTTGACCAAAGGTTAAGTTCCTCTTTCCAGTCTTAGTGGATAAGTTCCCCTTTTTTCTTGAGCTAGAAGTTAGGTGTAAGTTGAGCAATGTAATCTTCTAAAGTTGGGTTTTCCTTTTTGGTAGCTGGAGGATGGGGGTGGGGGTAGTGACTGCTGACTACCCACTACAAACCACAAGTTCCTCTTTCGAAATCTTAGTTCCTCTTTTCTTGAACTCCCTGAAGTAGATTGCACTTTTTAGTGAAAAGTAAGTTGTTGTTTTTTTAAATGCAAAATGGTATAGCTGCAGGGCAGAGATTCCTGAAGCCATCTCATTTAGGTTGATAGACATGGGCCCTAATCCAATAGAATATCAGATTTAATAGTTGTCCCACCCTAGAAATGCCGGCTTATGCCCCCAATATGTCCAGCAGCCAGTCGTTGCAAATTGGCCTGCTTCCCTGTTCTTGCTCTACTTCCCTATTCCTGTAAATTGCATGCTTCTTTTCTGTTATAAAAATAAGCTCTGTAAATCACTCATTAGTGACATGTGAGGAATCAGATGACCTGGTTTGATATGCAAAATGCCAATTTTGCAAATTAAATCATAATACTCAGAAGTGTTGTCCCTCAGATTCTTTTTCCTATTTTATATAGTTAATTTTATGTTATGTTCCAACCAATTGGCCTACTAACTGTTCCCCAACCAAGGTATTCCTAGAACTGTCTTCTGTTTCCATGTATTCACATAAACTATCACCCATACCTGGAATGCTCATTATCTCCATCTGTCAGAATTCTTATCTTCCTTTAAATGTCAGTTCAGGGTCCACCACCAAGAAACCTTTGATTGATGCCTCCAGTAGTTCCTGTAGTTAGTATTCTCCACCTCTTCAAATTATCTTCTGTTTGTCTCTTTACATGTTTCTTTCCTCCTCTCACCCCCCAACTAGCCTTGCCCCAATAGGGCAAGGCCTATTTCTTTTTTTTTTGTCTTAGTATCTCCAGCATTAAGCAAAAGTGCTTTAGCCTTAGTATTTACTTAATAAATACTTTTTGAATTGACATCTAGATTACAATGACCTCTAGTCACTTGACTAGGAGTCTTGTAGTCTCTCAGGACAGTGCCTCTAAATGAGGAAATTATTGAGTTGGAGAGAAAGGATATGTGGGGGGACATTGTGAAGGTACAAATGAAAAGACTTTATAAAAGATTAAATATATTGGATGAGTTCAGATGAGAAGTTTAGTATGACTCCAGGATGAGCCCAGGTGACTGGGAAGATTGTAGTGCCTTTGACAGTAATGGGAAAGTTGAAAATGGGGAATGATTTTGAGGGAAAGACAATTAGTTCTATTTTGGACATGTAGGAATTTGAATGTCCAGTTCCATATGTCCAAAAGGCAGTGGATGATTTGGGACTAGGGTGTAGGAGAGAGATTAGGGCTAAATATGTGTATAGATACATGGATACATATAAATCTGAGAATGATCTGTAGAGAAATAATGATAATTGAATTTATGGAAGCAGATGAGATTACTAATAACAGCATTTATATAGTACTTAAAGATTGCAAAGTAATTTACAAGTATTATATTATTTGATC